AAAATGGTTTGGATTTTAATGGAAAAATTATCTGATCATATCAACGATAAGGAAAATGTGACTAATGCCGTCGCAGTGACTTCTTTATTAATTTACACATCGAAGATTGAAAATTTGTGAAAATTAGATTTATTGAGTATTCGAGACCCTGTTGAAACAAAATGCAGAAAGGAAATGGAAATTGCCACATTGAATCATTTTAACAAAACTGTTACCTTTAAAGAGGGAAGATATGAGGTTCAGTTGCCTTGGGTAATAGAAAAGGACTGTTTAAGTCAAAATTTCGATATTGCTAGACAGCGTTTAAAAAGTATGACACACCGGTTGATACAAAAGGGCAAATTCGAGGATTACAAAAATGTTTTCACAGATTGGTTAAATGAAGGAATTATAGAAGTCCCTGAACACGAAATGAATAATCAGTGTCACTATTTACACATAAATGGGTATTCAAAGAAACTTCGACCCTGAAATTGCGACCGGTTTTTGATGCTTCCTGTAAAGACAAAAATTTTCGCTCACTTAATGATTGCCTAGAAAAGGGTTCAAATTTGCTGGAACAAATTATTCCTATAATTTTAAGATTTCGCAAGAACAGAATAAGAGTTACTTCAGACATAAAAAAGGCTTTTTTGCAAATGTCAGTGAATAAGAGGGATCGAGATTTCTTACGATTTTTATGGTAGAAAGACAAGGAGAAACTTAAGAGTTTTTAGACATAAACACGTTTTTGGATTGAATTGCAGTCCCTTTTTATTGGCTGCTGTATTAAACCATCACATTGATCTAAATTCGTCTAAATATCCTGAAACAGCAGAAAATTTAAAAGAATCATTCTACGTAGATAATTCCAACACATCTCTTCCTGATGAAGAGACACGCGATTCATTGAGGAATCAAAACAGATATTAGATTCTGCGTCATTCGATCTAAAAGGGTGAGAGCACACTTCTCTTTTGAAATCTGAACACAGTATAAAACCTACTTCTGTATTGGGAATTTTGTGGGATAAGGAAGATGATAGCCTTTTCTATGAGGTGAAGACTGCTACTGACAAACCAGTAAATCTTACTAGGAGAAATATATTGCCTGTGGTACATCGCATTTGCGACCCCATGGGTTTTCTCTGCCCGATAACACTAACACCTAAACTACTCATACAAAAGACATGGTTCTTAAAAATTGGTTGAGATACAAATATACCCGAACACTTAGGAAAAGAGTTCTATTCGTGGATTGATGATTTGTCACTTTTATCCAGTATTAGAATTCCAAGGGCTTTAGATATAAATGGAAATGAAAATCTTAGTCTTCATATGTTCTGTGATGCAAGCAAACAAGCCTATGGATGTGTGATTTATTTAAGAAAAGAAACAAGTGAAAATGTATCAGTGTATTTTCTTCTAGCTAAAAGTAGAGCGAGTCCATTAAGAAAAATAACCATAAATCATCTAGATCCTGCTGTATAGAAGTCAGACTCGCAGTTCTTGCTTTACAAACACTCAAATTAGACAATGTTCCAAGGAACTATTGGACAGATTCTACTACTGCTCTTTCTTGGATCCAAAGAGATGACCATTGGGCGACATTTGTCGCAAATAGAGAGTAAAAGAGATACGAAAATTGTCATCGGAATCTGAATGGCGTCACATTTCAGGAAATTCGAATCCAGCAGATATACCATCATGAGGGTGTTCGATTAAGAGTTTTGTGAAATCTCGCTGGTGGCAAGGGCCAGAATGGCTTATGAAGAAAGGTGAAGAGTGGCCAACTAGTGAAGTGATTACTAACGAAGAAGAAATTATGAAGAGAAAAGCGAAAGAAAGTACATTATTTCGACTATGGCTAATATCACCGCTGAAAAATGGTACCTGATTTACTTTTCAAGTTACTTTAAAATTGTGAGAATGATTTCTTGGATTCTAAGATTCATAAATAATTGTAGACATGGAGGAAGAAATTATGGCAAAATCCTGAGTGTTGAAGAATTGGACATTGCTGAGAAGAAATTAGTGAAGATCGTTCAACAAGAAGCATTCTCTGATGAAGAACAGTTGAAGGGACATTTTACTTTCAGATGCAGAAGGGATTATAAGATTGAAAACTAAGATTTTGAGAAGACATGATGATGAAAACTTTCGGTGCCCCATTGTACTTCCAGCCAAACATGAATTAGTAGAAAGAATGATACAAGACTACCATTTACAACTTTTACATGCTGGTACTCAAGTTCTTTTGACCAATATTCGTCAAAAATTTTGGATAATAAAAGGAAGAAAAACAGTACAAGGAGTCATATCGAAGTGCGTTCTGTGCAAGAGACACTCGGTGAAAGCTCTTGATACAGTGCCTTGTCCTCTCCCAGAAGATCGAGTCAGAGATGCTTATGCATTTGAGGTGACAGGTGTTGATGTAGCAGGACCACTTGATTTAAAAGAAAATAGAAAAGCTTGGATCTTGCTTTTTACCTGTGGAGTTTATCGTGCGGTTCATTCAGAATTAATTGAAAGCTTGTTGACAAATGGATTTTTTCTCGGATTTAGAAGATTCATAGCACGAAGAGGACAGCCTAAAGTAGTATACAGCAATAATGGCACAAACTTTTTAGGGGCAAGGAATTTGCTCCGATCTGTTGACTGGAACCAAATTATCAGAAGTTCTTCGATAATGAAAATTCAGTGGAAGTTAAATCCCCCAACCGCAGCATGGTGGGGCCGCTGGTGGGAGAGACTGGTTCAGATGATCAAGAAATTATTGAGAAGAGTCCTGGGAAAAGCATTACTTTCATATGAAGAAATATTAACTATCCTACATGATGCAGAAGCAAATATTAACTCCAGACCATTAACATATGATTCAGAAGATTCCACCGATTTATGTGCACTCACTACATCTATGTTTATTCAGGATGTGCGGATCTGGATAGTTTGCATAAAATTAACTTATCGAAAAGATGGCGATACCACCAAAAGTTACGTGTGGAATTTCGTAAAAGATTTAGAGATGAATATCTTGGTCTGTTAGTACATCGACCAAAGACTGTACCTTCGCGAACCATCAAGAAAGGTGATTTAGTGTTTGTAGAGGACGATAAAAGGAAAAGAATAGACTGGCCTATGAGTCGTGTGATCGAAACATACCCAGGAAAAGACATCATCAGAGTGGTGAAAGTAAAACCATCTAGTGGTGAACTGTTAAGACCAGTTCAAAGAGTATTTCCAATGGAGATAGACAATAAAGAATCTTCTTCGAGCTTAAAACTACTGAATCATCCACATCTCCGAGAAATACTGGTAAAAGGAATGATTTTAGTAATTGATACCAAAGACAATGAACTTGAAAATTCTGATAAAAACATTCATGGCAGAAAAATTGTGAAACCAAAGAACTTTAATTAGTTTAATTTTGTTTTCAGTACCACTATTATTTGTTTTCTTTATTCCTTTCTTTGAATTTAAATTTGTATGCAATTTGATTTTCCAGTTTAGAGAATTAATCTCTTTACTAGTATTTTTCAGAAAAGAATTTTTTGCCTGTTGTTTAAAGAATGTAAGTTTGCAGAATATTATGTAAGTTAAAAATATTCAAGATATTTGTTACACCTAGATAAAATTGTTAATTTTGGTAAGATTTAAATTACTCATCTTATATTCATATTTCAATTTTCATTTCACAACTGTTTTGATTTTTTCATACTTTGTCAAAAATCAAAAGGTGGGAGAAATGTTACAACTCGAACGCAAAATGAGCAAAAGTTTCTCTTCTGCCAGTGGCAACGAGGAGTCGAAAAACGAACTTGGAAGAGAGCGGTCGCTCACTCGGTTTGTCTTGATAGAATTTGATATGGAGGGGGGATAATCCCCATCTTTTGATTTGAAATTAATCTTGAATTATGTATATATTGTAATATAAAAGATGTGTAAATAAAAGTCATCAAGACTTAATTGAAGTAGTGATTTGAATCGAATATACAAATTGAAAGCTCTCCCAAATAGAACTTATAGAAATAACACCACCAAAAATGGCATTCATAAATGATGGCCATATACAATACAAAGTCCGTAATCCGGACTCGTCGGGACTTTGGCGATTCCAGATCAGGGGTTTTTCCGTATTATAGATTATCAATTTAAATCTGGTAAGATGGCATGCAATCAAATTTTACACACACACACACACACACACACACAAAAAAAAAGAGCGCTTAATATTTATTTGTTTACTTTATTAAACATTTCTCTCAACGCACGCATGCATAATGTGCACATAATGTATGCATATTCTTTACGCACATGCGTAAAACATACAAAAAAAAAGTTTGTGGCTTTGAGGTCCGGATTATAGATCATTCCGGATAATGGACGTCCGGATTAGAGACTTTGTACTGTCTTTAATGTTTGGCAATGCTACTTTTACTTCATTGTAAAATTTAAAATTTTTTATTAACTCTACGATTTGAAAGCAAGAAGTGGCAACACTTCTCAAAATAAAGCAGATTTTTATCTCCAGCATGTAAGACTGTTGCTACTTAGAAAAATGAGGGCAAAAATTAGCGTTTTCAGAGTTTTTAATTAATATCTATGATTTTAGGCCCCCCTCCTTTTTTTTAAAAAAAAAGTGGACGTTGACGTTTTCCAGGACTCAGAAAAGAATTGTAGAAAGTTTGGTGATGACAGTTATAGTAGTGACCGAGTTAATCACAAACACACAGACAGTTTTCTTTATAGATTGTTTCATTTTTGGAGTCTGTCAACCGTTCTGGAAATGCACGATGCATATCACCCAAAACGGGTTCGTAGGTCATATGTTATTCTGACGCTGACTTATTCTGTACAGATACTGAATGAATTGCCGTTTATGGCAGTCAGTTTCATTCTCGAACATGCTTTATAACATTTGGCAACAAATCGTGCATGCCTGACCTGAGCCAAAGAATTTACTCTGGTCAAGACCACTACACAACACAAGTACTGAAATTTGTAAATGAAAACAAATTATACCTGATTGGTGTAACGCTCCAAAGGCGACTGCTCCACAGTCATCTTGATGCCATTAATGCTACTTTCATATGAACTATGATGAATTGTGCATCTGTAAAATAAATAACCATATTTTCAAGAAAGCTTAAACAAAACTAAGAAACAGTAGTTTCATAATGCTATTTGTGTCTAAAGAAGCTATCCAGTGATGCGCGCGACTACGCGGGACAATTGCTTAAAATTTGCTTTAAAAAGAACTGCTGTCTGTCCTATGTTTTGTAAAATTTATCTATGAAATTGAATCTAATGTAGAAATGTAAATTTACTAGTAAATATTTTATTATACCTATTATCATAGCTGCCAACTTTGAAATATTAAAAAAAACCTGAAAATTTTCACACAGAAAACGGAAACTTCTGAATAGTTTTCTGCTACCCGGCAATACCATTTTAAGAGTTCGAAATTGATTTAAATCAACTTTTTAATTCATGATTCAGGTAACTGAACTATTTATAATGATTTTTTATGATTAATTGTAAAAGATTTTTTTAAATAATTTATTTTATACTAGTATAATTATTACTATTAAAAAATCTTTTACAAAACAGTGTGTACTTCTAGACATTGTTTTGTAAAAGATAGGGGGTCTCCAAATATTTATGGCACCAATAAAGCCATTATTAAATTTGGCAATCAATACATTAAATGCTTTAAAATGAAGAAATTTAGAGTTTAACATGAATCAGATACTTTATTTTTTTATAATTCCGATTGTAAATATTTTCTGTACTGATAACAATAAGAATACAGTCAAAAGTTGTTAATTCGGACACCCATAATTCGGAATGATCTATAATCCGGACCTCAAAGCTAAACACTTTCTGCGCAGGGGCCGCGTTGACACATGCACATAGGCGTTTACGCGTGCGTGTAAGACCTCTTACGACTGAGCATCTGTGTGTGCGCAAGCGCAGAATACGTTTTCGCGTGTGCGTTTAATGTATAACGGACGGTATAAGCTAAAATTATCTAATTATCTATTTCAGTTAATGTTGATGATTGCGTTGTTCCTTAATTTTCGAATACTATAAAAGTAAACTTGAACTTTTGATTATGTCGAATAGAGTTTCCGATTCTGGAGCTCCCAAAGGATCGTATAAAACGAAAGTATGTTTCGATGTCCATCAAACAAAAAGTGGAATTGCTGCAAAAAATGGATAATGACATGAAGAATGTGACAGAGAAGTTAGTTAAAACGAAAAAATTTTCGATTGACAAGTTAGTCGGTATTCTCGGCACAGCAATTAACGGGACTTGAACAGCGGAACTTTGTAACTGAACAAAAAATTATGTCTGTTTATAGAATTAAAGAGAAAGTATTATCACATAAAACGAAGCAACTTAAACAACTTACATTGAAAGAAATGTTTAATAAAATAAACAAATAAATATTAAGCTTTTTTTTGTAAATTTTGATACCCTTTAGATCATAATTGTTCTTTATTTCATAAATTAAGGTTTCATATTTTTAATTTTAGAATTTCTGCATGCCATCTTACACGATTTAAACTGATGATCTATAATCCGGAAAAATCGATAATCCGGAATCGCCGAAGTCCCGACGAGTCCGGATTAACGACTTTTGACTGTATTAGGTAAATAAGAAAATTCTATCAACCATCTTTTGCCAAAAGCAGGCAATACTGTTTCTGTCAGTAATGGGAAAACTTAATTTTGGAAACACTTGGTTCGGATAATCTTTGTCTTTACACAAAAGTTTCATCAGCTTTGGTTTTCTTTTTTTTTTTTTTTTTCTCAGTTTCAAATCTTTCCTCCTCACATTAATAAATAAATGAATAAAATTTCAGATGTGCCCATTACAGAACATAATGCAGTAGTATTTTAAACAATATGGAATCCTACAATCAACCAAAACGTGCATTAAAGGGTATGATATGACACTTTACTTGAAAATATACAAACAATGGTACTGCAGGCTCTTGAAAAGAGAGTAAAAGTTTGCAACGGTAAGTGGGTTTAGGTTTTAAGTATTTAATTTTTAACTACACTAATATTCATCAGTAGTTGGAGCCAAGAATTAGACTATTAAATGGGAAAAAGAACAATTAGATTTAAGTGACAAGCTAGTTATCAATTGGAAAAATTGCTTAAGAGAAGTTTGCATGTACAACTTTTTATCAAGACCAAAGAAAAAAATCAAGTGGGGGGGATACTCAGATAGCCGGCACTTGGCGAGGTTCCTGAAATCGCGTTCGGCAACTTGGGCAATAGGCGCCAAACAGTGAGAAGAGTGTTTAGGTTGCTAGCCCAGATGTTAACTAAGATAGGGAAAAGGAAAAGGATATTTTCTTTCTATATGGTTGATACTTTGCATGTGGTGTCGTGACTTTGCAGATAAATCTTTGTGCTGATGATCTCATGAATTTGTCAGTAGATGTTTTGAATTCACTGTTTAATTATTTTCTAAATAAATTAATTGCACTTGTAATTAGAATAAAATCATTTTATTTTTATACAAGAAAATTACAAAATATGCTCTTTTTCCATACTTATGGCTCACGTTAGCCCATGTGTATTTACATATAATTAATTTCTAAATAAATAAATTAAAAAATTTTAATTATAGATTTAAATAAATTAATTACACTTCTAATCAGAATAAAATGATTTTATTTTTATAGAATAAAATATGCTTCTTTTCTAACTTATTGCTCGTATTTCCAGATAATTTCTAATTAGAATGGAAACTTTTTTAATTATCTTCTTAATATTTAAATATATGGGAGTCTGGCCATAAGAAAACAGGAATGAATATCTAAATAAATTAATTGTACTTCTAATACAAATATATATATATATATATATTTAATTTATGGAAGTCATTTGTTTAATCTAACCAAATGCCTTTTTTTCTAATTATGTTCATGTATAAATATGATTAGAATTATTTAGAATATCAAAAGCACTCTTAGGCTATTTGCTTAAGGAGAGGGAAGTCTGTTAGCCGTGCCTTGACCTTGAGACGAACTACCAGTGTGCAATAGTTTTACCCTTCAGCTGCTGAAAGACACCCTGTATCATAAAAGCAGGTTTTTAACCCCTCATAATAAATATATTCAAATATAATTATTAAAAATGCAATCAAATGATAATCAGACCTTTGAAATGCTAATAAGTTAGTATGAAATATTACAAAAACATTATTCTGCTGTTTTTCTACGTTAAGCATATTTCACCAACTTTGTTATACAGAGGATTTTGTGGATTAAAAATTGGGTATGTCAGTAAAATATCTAAACCATCAGCATTTCTTTTTTTTTTCACAAAAAAAAAAAAAAAAAAAAAAAAAAAAAACGAATAAAAGTTCATTAAATTTGTATCTTTGAATGAGATTTATATTTATATATTTTTTTTATTTCTTATGTTCATGTTTAATAGTAATGCATGTAAAATAAACTGAAACTTTAAATAAGTAAAAAATAGAAATCTTTGAATCACTGTACTTGCAACAATGCATAACTGAAATACATTCGCCGACCACATAAAACTGCTTTGAGGGGCTGCAAGTTTGAAACCACTGTTACAGACAATGTTCGAATTGCACAAAAATAATATTTTAGGATTTAACTTCTCATGGAATAAATACAGACAAATTCAAATAACCTTACTCTATTCTATTTGATTGGTATCTTTCTGAAATTTAAACAATTGCATAATGTTGTGAAAAGCTATAGAAGCGCTTGTTACAAATCCTGTTTCCCTGCAGTTATGCATTTCATGATTACATTTCTTTGGCTACTTAAATGAAAACTATTTTCCCCACTTAAACAAGAAAAATAACCTTATTAATTGAAATTACCTGTATTAAAGAATCCAGAATTTAAAATATAAACCTGACTGAATGATTGAATAGCCTGGAATACATTTCGAGGATGCAATATTATTGTGGAAATAATTGCATATTTCTTTAAACTTTCATCATTAACTATGTGTTATCACATAGTTAATCACATATATCACATTTTCGTGATCATTACTGCATTTATATAAAGAACATGTTTTTAAACATATATGACCATTATTACCGATAATTGTTCAAATTAATGGTAAGAATTAAAAAAGTTAATAATGCTGGAGTTATATACAGTAGAAAGTCTTTAATCCGGACTTGTCGGGAGATCGGCGATTCTGGATTAGGGGTTTTTCCAGATTATAGATCATCGATTTAAATCTGGTACGATGGCATGCAGAAATTATAAAATTAAAAATATAAAACTGTAATTTATGAAATAAAGAGCAATTATGATCTAAAGGGTATCAAAATTTACAAAAAGCTCAATATTTGTTTACTTCATTAAACATTTCTTTCAATGTAAGTTGTTTAAGTTGCTTCATTTTATGTGCTAATACTTTCTCTTTAATTCTATAAACAGACATAAATTCTTGTTCAATTACAAAGTTCCGCTGTTCAAGTCCTGTAATTGCTGCGCCGAGAATACCAACTAACTTTTCAATCGAAATTTTATCGCTTTCACCAACTTCTCTGTCACTTTCTTCACGCTTTTATCCATTTTTTGCAGCAATTCCACTTTTTGTTTGATGGGCATCGAAACATGCTTTCGCTTTGTAGATTTCTTTGGCAGCTCGGAAACTCTTTTTGACATAATCGAAAGTTCAAGCTTACTTTTTATAAAATTGTTCTAACAGTCTGCAAAAAATAATAAGCCAGATCCAATTAGAACATTAAGAAGCAAAGCAATCTGCAACATTAACTGAAATAGATAATTTTAACCTAGCTTATACCGTCTGTTATACATTAAACGCGCATACATAAACGTATTATGTGCATGTGTGAACGCTACGCATGCGCAGAAAGTTTGCGCTAATCTTTGGAATATGGTAACAGGTAGTTTGGCGACATTTTGGTAAGGCGATAAAGGTTACTAGCTAGGACTTTAGCAGTGTACATGGATAAAGTCAAGAGTGTGTGTGCGCAATGCCATTTTTGTGCAATTCTGAGATTTTTTTTTAAGTCAAAATAGGTCGACGTGTACATGGATGATATCGTGTATGTGCAATTCTTAAAAACA